CCATATGAGAAGAGTGGAGAGATCCAAAATTGACACCCTATCGTCAAAATTGAAAGAGCTAGAGGAGCAAGATCAAAAAAACTCAAAACCTAGCAGAAGACAAGAAATAACTAAGATCAGAGGAGAACTGAAGGACATAGAGACACAAAAAACCCTTCAAAAAATCAATAAATCCAAGAGTTGGTTTTTTGAAAAGATCAACAAAATAGACAGACCACTAGCCAGATTGATAAAAAGAACAGAGAGAACAACCAAATAGATGCAATAAAAAGCGATAAAGGGGAAATCACCACAGATTCCACAGAAATTCAAACCATCATCAGAGAATATTACAAACAACTCTACGCACATAAACTAGTAAACCTGGAAGAAATGGATAAATTCCTGGACTCCTGTGTCCTCCCAAGCCTAAACCAGGAGGAAGCTGAAACTATGAATAGACCAATAACAAGGTCTAAAGTCGAGGCAGCAATTAAGAGCCTATCACCCAAAAAAAGCCCAGGTCCAGATGGGTTCACACCTGAATTCTACCAGACACACAAAGAGGAGCTGGTACCATCCCTTCTGAAACTATTCCAAATAATCCAAAAAGAGGGAATCCTTCACAAATCATTTTATGAGACCAACATCATCCTGTTACCAAAACCCGGCAGAGACTCAACAAGAAAACAAAACTTCAGGCCAATATCCATGATGAACATAGATGCAAAAATCTTCAATAAAATACTGGCAAGCCGATTGCAACAGCAAATCAAAAAACTTATCCATCATGATCAAGTAGGATTCAACCCGGGGATGCAAGGCTGGTTCAACATATGCAAGTTTATAAACGTAATTCACCACATAAACAGAACCAAAAACAAAAACCACATGATTATCTCAATTGATGCAGAGAAGGCATTTGACAAAATTCAACAGCCCTTTATGCTAAAAACCCTCAATAAACTCGGTATCGATGGAACGTATCTCAAAGTAATAAAAGCTATTTATGACACACCAACAGCCAATATCATATTGAATGGGCAAAAACTGGAAGCACTCCCTTTGAAATCTGGTACTAGACAAGGATGCCCTCTTTCACCACTACTATTCAATATAGTACTGGAAGTTCTAGCCAGAGCAGTCAGGCAAGAAAAAGAAATAAAGGGTATTCAAATAGGAAAGGTGGAAGCCAAATTGTCTCTATTTGCAGACGACATGATAGTATACCTAGAAGACCCCATCGCCTCAGCCCAAAAACTCCTGAAACTAATAAGCAACTTCAGCAAAGTCTCAGGATATACTTAAAGAGAGCCAAATCAAGAATGAACTGCCATTCACAATTGCGACAAAAAAAGTAAAATACCTAGGAATACAACTCACAAGGAACATAAGGGACCTCTTCAAGGAAAACTACAAACCACTGCTCAATGAAATAAGAGAAGACACAAACAGATGGAGAAGCATTCCATGTTCATGGTTAGGAAGAATTAATATCGTGAAAATGGCTATACTGCCCAAAGTAATTTACAGAATCAACGCTATCCCCATCAAGCTACCATTGACTTTCTTCACAGAACTGGAAAAAACCACCATGAACTTCATATGGAACCAAAAGAGAGCCCGCATAGCCAAGTCAATTCTAAGCAAAAAGAACACAGCAGGAGGCATCACACTACTGGACTTCAAACTATACTACAAGGCTACAGTAATCAAAACAGCATGGTACTGGTACCAAAGCAGAGATATAGACCAATGGAATAAAACAGTGGCATCGGAGGCAACACAACATATCTACAACCATACAATCTTTGATAAACCTGACAAGAACAAGCAACGGGGAAAGGATTCCCTGTTTAATAAATGCTGTTGGGAAAACTGGCTAGCCATGTGCAGAAAGCAGAAACTGGACCCCTTCCTGACACCTTACACTAATATTAACTCCAGACGGATTAAAGACTTAAACATAAGACCTGGCACCATAAAAACCCTAGAAGAAAATCTAGGCAAAACCATTCTGGACATAGGAGTAGGCAAGGACTTCATGACCAAAACACCAAAAGCATTGGCAACAAAAACCAAAATAGACAAATGGGACCTAATCAAACTCCACAGCTTCTGCACAGCAAAAGAAATAGTCACTAGAGTGAATCAGCAACCAACAGAATGGGAAAAAATGTTTGCAGTTTACCCATCTGACAAAGGGCTGATATCCAGAATTTACAAAGAACTCAAATGGATTTACAGGAAAAAAACAAACAAGCCCATTCAAAAATGGGCAAAGGATATGAACAGACACTTTACAAAAGAAGACATACATGAGGCCAACAAACATGAAAAAATGCTCATCATCACTGGTCATTAGAGAGATGTAAATCAAAACCACATTGAGATACTATCTCAGGCCAGTTAGAATGGCGATCATTAAAAAATCTGGAGGCAATAGATGCTGGAGAGGATGTGGAGAAATACGAACACTTTTACACTGTTGGTGGGAGTGTAAATTAGTTCAACCATTGTGGAAGACAGTGTGGCAATTCCTCAAGGCCTTAGAAATAGAAATTCCATTTGACCCAGCAATCCCATTACTGGGTATATATCCAAAGGACTATAGATCGTTCTACCATAGGGACACATGCACACGAATGTTCATTGCAGCACTGTTTACAATAGCAAAGACCTGGAACCAACCCAAATGCCCATTGATGATAGACTGGATTGGGAAAATGTGGCACATATACACCATGGAATATTATGCAGCAATCAAAATGATGAGTTCGTGTCATTTGTAGGGACATGGATGAATCTGGAGAACATCATTCTCAGCAAACTGACACAAGAACAGAAAATGAAATACTGCATATTCTCACTCATAGGCAGGTGATGAAAAATGAGAACACATGGACACAGGGAAGGAAGTACTAAACACAGGGGTCTAATTGGGGGAAAGGGGAGGGACAGCGGGGAGGGGGAGCTGGGGAGGGATAGCCTGGGGAGAAATGCCAAATGTGGGTGAAGGGGAGGAAGGCAGCAAAACACACTGCCATGTGTGTACCTATGCAACTGTCTTGCATGTTCTGCACATGTACCCCAAAACCTAAAATGCAGTAAAAAAAATAATAATAATAATAAAGATTTGCAAAAGAATATTGGACATGTATCCTAAAGAAATGAAAAAGCATGTTCTTATAAAAATCTGTACATAAATGTTGATAACAACTTTCTACATAATAGCCCAAAAACTAGAACGTCCAAAACAACATGAATGTCCTTCAACAAGTGAATAGATAAATAAACTGGTACATTCACAGCAAGGAACACTACTCAGCAACGAAAATGAGCTATTGATACAGACAACTTAGATGGATCTTAGGGGTTTTATGATGAGTGAAAAAGAGCCAGTCTCAAACAGTTATAAACTGCATTATTCTAGTTATCTAACAATCTCAAAAGAACAAACTTAGAGAAATGGAGAGCCGCTTAGTGGTTGCCAAGGGCTGGGGTGGGAAAGAAGTGACAGTAAAGGAGTAGCACTAAGTGGTATCTTTGTGGGATGAAACAGTTTGGAGTCTTGATGAGTACATATGACCAAATGTTACAGAACTATATACATATATAACAGAGTGCAAGAAGAGCTGATAAAATCCAAGTAAGGTCTATAGCTCAACTAGCATATTCTGCCAATGACGTTTCCTGGTTTGGCAACGTACCATCGTTATGTAAACTGGTACCACCCTAAGCAGCTAGGGGAAGGGTACATGGGACCTCTGTACTATTTCTGCAACTTCTTGTCAGTCTACAGTTATTTCAAAACAAAGTACTTTGTTTTTTTGCGTGTGTTTTTTTTTAGACAGAGTCTCGCTTCAACACTAAGCTGGAGTGCAGTGGTGCCATCTCGGCTCACTGCAACCTACACCTCCTGGGTTCAGGCAGTTCTGCCTCACCCTCCCGAGTAGCTGGGACTATGACAGGCTCCGCATGCCACCACGCCGGACTAATTCTTTGTATTTTTAGTAGAGATGGGGTTTCACCGTGTTGGCCAGGATGGTCTCTATCTCCTGACCTGGTGATCCACCCGCCTCGGCCTCCCAAACTGATGAGATTACCGGCGCGGTGGCTCCCAAAAGTGCTGAGATTACAGCCCCAGCCAAATCAAAGTTTTTAAATGGGGAGAGAAGCTTCCCAAAGAAGCTCTTATGAATAACTGCTAGAAACAACTATGAATAATTGCTAACATGTACACAACACATTCTATGTGCCAGGGACAAGTTTACATGTGTTACCTCCATTAATCCTCACAACAATTTTAGCTGGTTCCTAAGTTATTGCTTCCATTTTAGAGTTAGCAAAGTGAGCCCAGAAGGAGCAACCAACTTGCCTAAAGTCACCAGGCAAACAAGGGGAGAACCAGCCTTTAACTCAAGCCTTTCTGATTCTAGACTTTAGAATCTTCACCACCACATCGTGCTGTCTCCAAGAAAAACGAATTCCATTCTCAAAGGATTCTCAACGAGTCGGCAAAGGCAAAAATCTTGTTCCTGCTCTGAGGCTATGACAGTCAAAGGCTCCATGGGCAGCAGATGCCTAACGTCAGATACAGGGTTCCGGAAGCCCCGGGGCACTGGAGAACAGTCGGTTGGCTAGTCCGGAGAAGGGTGGGTGGCTAGCAGGAAGGCTCAGAGTCCTGAGCTAAACCAGCCTCTGCAGAGGACTCGCGACCATCACTTTCCCATCAGAAATGGGTCTATTAGTCTACCTCCCTGGGGACGTGGGTGGCGGGGGTCGTGAGGAGGACAGAGGGAAAAGTCCTTTGCGAAGAGCAGCGCCGAGCACTGGTTATCTTACAGTGTTATGGTGTACGCACGAGGGCATTGAGGAGGGAAGAAAGACAGGCGGGATCTACCCCAGACCCTCTGCGTTTGTGGGCCCATCCCCCGCCCCCGCCCCAGCAAGCGAGGGTTCCAGGCGCCCCCGCGCGGCCCACATGGGATACGCGCTCGGCCCGTGCGCCGCCCGCTTACCGGGATCTGCAGTTCACGCCCTTAGGCACCGGGGCCAACAGCCCTGGCCCGAGCCGTCGCCTGCTGTCCGCCATGGTGGCCCTAGCTCCGCAGCCGCCGCCCGGGCTTGGGCGGTGTGTGTGCCCTGCCGCCGCCCTGTCGCTAAGAGACTGCGTAGCCACTGGCTGCCCGCATTTGCCTGGGGCTCTCGGCAACTTCAGAGGCCCGGCTGCGCGGCCCAACCCCTTCTCCGACGTCTAGGGACTTGGACCTGGCGGGGGAAAGGGTGACGGAACCGGTCCTTGGTGTAATCACGCTTTACTCTGCTGGAAAGGCGTGTTCATCTTCCCATGAAAACGCGCTATAGACTGGATCAGGTCTTTTTTGCATCGTTTCAAAAAACGTTTACTGAAGGAAAGAAAGGAAGAAGGCAGGAGGAGCGATAAAGAGATAGCAAAAAAAAATATATATATATATATATGGAAAAAGGGAAAAGGAATAGTTTTTGTTGTTGTTGTTATTGTTGTTGTTGTTTTGGAATAGATCTCTAAAGGCTGAGAAAGGCTTTTAGCAGGGAGATGTTTTCCTGGAGGGCTTGGAACTCTCTTGGTCTCACAGCCTCTTGTTTCTAGTCCCCAGCTGAGTTCCAGAGGCCCTTCCAGCTCCTGTGTGCCTCGACTAATTTCTGGCAAACAAGTACCATCCAGTCTGCCCTGGTAGTCACGTGACCTCATGATATGGATTGCATGAGGGTGTGTTTCGGTTTTACTAAAGTCATTTGCTACTTCTGAGTGTTTCTGATTTAAATATAAGGATGGTTCTGCTACTTAATAATTATACACTCCTGTGGGCAGGGTACTTACATTTTTAAGCTTCATTAATTAATTACCTAGCCTGAAAATGGGGAAAATAATAGTATCTACCTATAAGGTTATTGGGGGCATTTGATGAATATAAAGAAATTAACACAGTGCCAGCATTTAAGAATCCCTCAAGAATTGTTATTATGCAGAGTAGTAGTATTCCAGCTGTGAACTAGGGATAGTAATATTTGTCCTGCCTACTTCACAGAGCTGTTGTAAGAGTTAGTTAATGGAGAAAGCTATGTAGGTAATCATTATAAGTGGCCCAATTAGTTATTTTTATTATCTTTGATATTTGCCTGATTGCTAATGCAAACTTTTTATTACTTTGAGGGGGTGGGATTTCTGGAGAACTTCTATGAGAACTGAGTCAAAGGTGTGGTTGTCTAGGCTGAATAGAGTCCTGCAGGAATGATTTGTAACAATTTGTCCAGATGCTTGATTAAACTAAAAAGCTTCTGCATAGCAAAAGAAAAAATCAGCGGAGTAAACAGACAACCTCATAGTGGGAGAAAATCTTCACAATCTATATATCCAACAAAGGACTAATATCCAGAATCTTCAAGGAACTCAAACAAGCCAGCAAGAAAAGAACAAGCAATCCCATCAACAAGTGGACTAAGGACATGAACAGAAAATTCTCAACAGAAGATATGAAAATGGCCAACAAACATATGAAAAAAGGCTAGACATCACTAATTATAAGGGAAATGCAAATCAAAACCACAGTGTAATACCATCTTACTCCAGCAAAAATGGCCGTATTCAAAAAAATCAAAAAATAATAGATGTCGGTGTGGATGTGGTGAAAACAGAAGACTTTTACATTGCTGATGGGAATGTAACTAGTACAACCACTATGGAAGACAGTGTGGAGATTCCTTAAAGAATTAAAAGTAGATCTAAGATTTGATCTAGCAATTCCACTACTGGGTATCTACCTAGAGGAAGAGAAGTCATTATATAAAAAAGATACACACATGTTTGTAGCAGCACAATTTACAACTGTAAAAATATGGAACCAGCCCAAATGCCCATCAATCAATGAGTGGATAAAGAATTTTGGTATATACACGATGGAATACCACTCAGCCATAAAAAGGAATGAAATAATGGCATTGGTAGCAACCTGGATAGAACTGGAGACCATTCTAATTGAAGTAGCTAAGGAATGGAAAACCAAACGTTGTACATTCTCACTCTTAAGTAGAAGCTAAGCTATGAGGATGCAAAGGCATAAGAATGATACTTTGGGAACTTGAGGGGAAGGATGGGAGGGGACGAGAGATAAAAGACTACACATTGGGTACAGTGTACACTGGTCTGGTGACGGCTTTACCAAAATTCAGAAATTGCCACTGAGGAACTTATTCATGTAACCAAAAAAATAAACAAATAAAGGATACCCAGAAACCTTCTGAAGGAAGCATTTGACCTGAATCTCCAAAGGTTGTGACAAAAAGAAGAAAAAGCTGGCTACAATTTGTATATCAGCAAGCAGGAGATAGAGTTTCCTAAGGTGGCTTTCTATATGTTTTCTACAGTTTCAATAATTTCTTTTAAAAATATTTAGCAAAATAATATGTTGGTAAGTTATCACTCTTAAATAAATAAACAATTCTTCCAGATGCCTAGTGTTTCTACCAATTCAGGACTGCTTTCTAATTTCTCAGCTTAAAGTTCTATTGGTTTTTTGTTTTGTTTTGTTTTTTGAGACGGAGTCTCTGTTGCCAAGACTGTGTGCAGTGATGCAATTTCAGCTCACTGCAGCCTCCTGGGTTCAAGCAATCCTCCTGCCTCAGCCTTCTGAGTTGCTAGGATCACAGGCACACACCACCATGCCCAACTAATTTTTGTATTTTTTAGTAGAGACACAGTTTTGCCATGTTAGCTAAGTTCTATTGTTTTTGCTATTCAAATGCGTGTTTTTCTGGAGAGCACCGTGAACTAAGTATTGCTGACCATATAGTAAAATGCTACAGAGAGAGTAATCAATTAGTCCTTGAGTGGGAAATGTACAGTAATAGTGTTTGAAAACACACACACACACACATATATATATATATATATAATGCAGTAATTCTTTTGGAAATGAAATGGCCACCTTACCTGGCAGGAAGTCTAGAAATAAACACCTGGAACATCACCAACTTCATTCTTAAATAATGTATACTCACTGGATACTCACTTGATACATTTCACCTTTGAGTTGAGAAAGAGAGAGAGACTGTAAGATTCTCTAATGACTACAATTATTATATGGAATGTATGGAGACAAAATTACCATATGAAGCAATTATCAACTCTTGATGATGCAGATGTCATGAAAATAAATGGTTTCTTATTTATTTATTCAACAAACACTAGAAACTAATACCAAGGTGATGAGGATCAAGTCTGTTTTATTCTCCATTGTATCGCCAGTGCCTAGCATGGTATATAACAAATCAATAGTTATTGAAGGAGTACATAATGTGCGCCAGACACAGTACTAGGAACAAGATGGACAAGATCCCTACCCTTAGTCTTGGAGAAATCCTACCTACATACAAAATAATGAAATTGGGCCTTTACTTTATACTATATACAAAAATCAACTCAAAACAGATTAAAGACATAAATTTAAGAGCTAAAACTATAAAATTCTTAGAAGAAAACATGGGGCAAATCTGTACAATTTTGAAATTGGCAATGGTTTCTCAAAATGATACCATAAGCTGAAGCAACAACAACAAAAATAGATAAGCTGGACTTCATTAGAGTAAAAAACTTCTGTATATTAAAGAATATGATCAAAAGAGTGAAAAGATAACCCACAGAAGGAGAGAAAATGTTTGCACATTATATACCTGATAAGAGTTTAATATCCATAATATATTTAAAAATTCCCATCACTCAACGACAAAAAGAAACCCAGTTAAAAAATAGACAAAATATTTAAAAAAGATATGCAAATGGCCAAAAAGCACATTAAAAGATGTTCAACATCATTAGTCATTAAGGAAATACAAATCGAAACCACAATGAGATACTACTTCACACCAATTAGGATGGTTATAATAATAAGAAACAAAAGCAAATAGAAAATAACAAGTGTTGGTGAGGATGTGGAGAAATTAGAACCCTCACGCATTGCTGGTGGGAATATAAAATGGTACAATCACTGTGGAAAACAGTTTGGCAGTCTTCAAAAAGCTACGCATAGGTTTACCATATGACCCATCAACTCCGTTCTTAGGTATATACCTAAAAGACTTAACAATAGGAACTCAGATACTTGTACATCAATGTTTATGACAGCATTATTCACAATAACAAAAAAGTGAAAAGAACCTACGTGTCCATCAACAGATGAATGAATAAACAAAATGTGGTGTTTATACATGGAAAATTATTCATAAAATGAATGAAATTTTGATACATTTTAACATGGATGAACCCTGAAAACATGCTAAGTGAAAGAAGTCAAATGCAAAAGGACAAATACTGTATAACTCCATTATATGAAATATCTGGAATAGGCAAACTCATTGAAACAGAAAGTAAAGTAGAGATTATTAAGGACTGGGAGAAGGAAGAAATGAGGAGTTCATGCTTAATGGATACAGAGGTTTTTGGAGAGATGATGAAAAAATTTTGAAATAGTAATAATGATTGCATAATATTGTAAATACAATTAATGCCACCAAATTATAAACTTTAAAATATGGTTAAAGTTACAAATTTCATGTTACATATATTTTAACACAATTTTTTAAGTTGTAAAAAATACCCAAAAAAAGAAGGAAGTTTGAAAATTAATGAGCTAAGAATCCAACTTAACAAATTGGAAAACTAGTCAAATAAATTCCAAAAGAGGTATGTTTTTAATGTTGAGCAAAAGAAGCCAGACATCAAGAGTATACACCGTGCTCCTACTAATATGAAGTTTTAAAATAGGCAAAATTAATTTGTAATGATAAATGTCAGAATTATGGCTACTTGGTGGGTAACTGACAAAGAGAATGCATGAGGGAGTCTGCCAGGAAGATGGAAATGTTCTGTATCTTGATCTGGTTACTGGGTATGTATGTACATATGTAAAATTTTCATGAGCTGTACACATCACATCTGTGCATTTTGCTATATAAGTTATCAATTAAGAGAAAAGAAAAAAAAAAGGAATATTTTCCATTAGGAAAATAATCCTAGAGAATTATCGTCCCCATTAGTACATAAAGAAACAAGCATCCTGGGAGCCCTAGGGTACCCTAAAGTCTGCGACTTTCCCCTAACAGTTCTTATTTTGTGATACTCAGACGGTGGAAGGATATTTAAAATATTTAACAACCAGTAAAGCATAAACACTAACTAATCAGGAAGACGGCCAGCCAGATTGCAACAGCAGAGTCCTAGAGCCCTCTAATCATAATGGCAATACCTTTCTTTAGTTGCTGATCTTGGAGAGAGTGGCTGGAACCGTCAAAGCATAGCAGTCACTCAGAATTGCTCAGAGCAGTGGCTATTTA